TTGTTTAAAAAAAAAAAGTTAAATCTGTTTTAAAGTTAGCTTTTTTTAATATAAATATAAAATATATATATATTTTAAAAAAAACCCTGAGCTAATTGCTAACCTGAGTAGACTTTAGCACGCAAAATAAAAAACTGCCCCAAGGCACATGGAGAGTCTTCTCCTCGATGAGTTCTTTTTAAATTTCCTGATTGTGTATCTTCCTTGGGAAGGAACGGTACTGCATGTGAAATGCACATTGCTGCACACAAAAAGCAAGAAAATGCTCTTTGGAAATGCATTAAAATCTATTCAATTCTGTACATCTAAAATTCCACACATAAAATATACTTAAAAGCATTCTCACAAACACACTTTAAAAATGCATGTTTTAAGCAGAGAAGCGTGAACGGGTTCCTTTTTGTTCGTTTCAGCCCAGTTTTGTATTCCTCTACAGAGTCCTGTATAGCATATGTTCTTTGAATGGTTCTTGAATGCATTTTAAATATTAAAATGCTGAGGAACAATGTAGTAAGCAAGGTTTCCACAAGCTCGATTACTGGAAACCATCTACTAAAATGGCTTCTGCAGATGTAATCTCCATACCTCTATGTTTTTATCAATGAAATTGGAAATAGAAACACTTCCTGTCAGCACTGCCCCCACAGTTCACAATACTAACTGTTATACATCATGTATTGAATTGTGATGGCTGTAGAGATATCCAGTGGCATGTTATAGAAGTCATGTTTTCCTGGATACGTCGGCAGAATTTGGTTGCCATGGGTAATGGCTGCTTTTTCCTTTTCATCTTGTGCTCATTACTTTGTACGTAAAGGTGAAAACTCTCATTTTTGTTATGCACAACTGTGCTGATGAACGTTTTATAGTCGGTAATGGTTGTGGACTGTTTCATAATGATTCCCAGGAGGGTAAAAGTTGGAGCACTAGCTGTACATAGATGACATTCCTGTGTCCGATCCACCTTCCAGACACTGGCCCTGTTTGTTTTGGTATTAATGGCCTGTTTGCTTTGGGGCTGCCTGTGCTTGTCAAGCAGCATTTAGTTTGCATATTAAAGTTGTAACGGATGCCCTCTTTGTTTTTGTTAGGTCTTCACTTAAGTACAAAAGAGCCGTTCCCTAAGAGCGTAGAAAGTGGTGATAATGGGGAGGATGCACAATTGTTTAAAGCCCCGAGGCTTTTAATCAGCCATTATGACAATTAGGATAGCACACGTCTAATGCGTTAACCTACCGTGGTGACTTGCTTTTGGCAATCACCTTGAACTCATCTGTGGCCCGGAACTAAATAACTGACGCACACTATCTTATTAAAAGTGCTATTTAAATATCGTCGTTTTCCATAGCAAATCTTGGAGTAGATTTTCCTAATGTATCAGGCACAGTCGTTCATAGGAATTAGGAAAAATGTCCTAAAGAGCACTGACTACACCTGAACTTTGGGTGAAAGCTATGTGAATCTTGTGAGAAATTTGTGAAAAGATTTATAAATGGATGTCTGTACTAAATCATTGCTTTAAGGATTATACCAAATAAATTTGTTAGGGGCTCTTTTGGACATTTCTCTAATTCCTGTGAATAACACTATGATATTGTTTTGTATAATCCTTAATGCAATGATTTACTACAAGGGTCTATTTATAAATATTTTTACACAAGATTCCCCTGGATTTCACCCAAGATTCAGGCACAGCCATTGACAGCAATTAGCAACATTTCCAAGAAGCACTAACAATATATTGTTTTGTATAATCCTTAATGCAATTATTTACTACAGGGGTCTGTTTATAAATATGTTCACCCAAGATTCACACTTTTTTTTTTTTTTAATGGGATACCGTTCGAGAACGGTATTAAACTTGCTTGAAAACATTTGTAAATAGACCACTTTGTATATATTTAAACTGGATAAGAAAAAACATAGACCATATATATGAGAAAAGAAAATTCAACAAACTCATATTTAGCTTCTGTTAAAGTGACACTAAACTCAGGAGTTAAATCTTAAAAATGCATTCAAGTGCCTGAACTATTAACAAAAATGTATCTTATTTGTGTATCACTCGGCTGTAGATCCTCAAATCATCTCTGAAATCATATTGACACTGTCCTTCCTTCTGGAGGGTGGCTACTTTTTGCTCCCTATTGTCACTGTGTGTGTTGTAAAGTAACCACTGCTCCAAGCTCACTCCTGTGATGGTCTACAATCTCATGTTTAGTTTACTAATTTGTACTGAGATTGTCGTCCATCACAGGAGTGAGCTTGGAGCAGTGGTTACTTTACAACACACAGGGACCATGGGGAGCAAAAGTAGCCACCCTCCAGAGTGAAGGACAGTGTCAGCACCAATTCAGAGATGATTTGAGGATCTACAGCCGAGTGATACACAAATAAGATACAGTAATACCTTGGTTTACAAGTAACTTGGTTTGAGAGCGTTTTGCAAGACAAGCAAACATTTCTGAAAAATGTTGCCTTGATATACAAGCAAATGTCTTGCAATAAGAGCAAAATTTTGTAGAAAAGCGCCACCCGAATAATGTTGTAGCAGTGCGAGCGATGAATCTGTTCAACGACAATACAATGTCACATTGGATAGATTCCTTGTTAAGGTTTCACGAAATGAAAAAGATTCCATTGAGTCAAGAGATAGCAGTGATTCCGTTAGTGATAGTGAAAGTCGTCCTTCACAATGATCCTCCTCTCTCTTGTCCCCCTCACACCAGCCACGAAGGTACCGGTAATTGGTTTATTTTTCTTTATATTTTGTACAGTATTATATTACAGTACATTATTGTAATCATTTTTATATGAATATTTTTGGGTTGTGGAACGAATCATCTGAATTTCCATTATTTCCTATGGGGAAATTAGCTTTGATATACAAGCGCTTTGGATTACAAGCATGCTTCCGGAACTAATTATGCTCGTAAACCAAGGTATTACTGTACATGTTTTTAATGTATTTAAATGTATTTTTAAGATTTAACTTCTGAGTTCAGTGTCACTTAATGTAACTTATTTTGTTTGTAGTTGACGTTCTAATGCATAATATTTTCTCTCAGTATGAAGAGAAAAGGACTCAATAATGTATTACACTATGTAATACAACGAGAGATGTTTACTGCCTATTATACTGTAGGTTACAGCAAATGTGATTCTAACTGCCATTTTCTAGAGCCAGTTAGAAGCCAAAATCAAAAATCTACTTGCCTCCTAAGGATAGCACAATCGCTTTCATCCAGTTTTTATAAATGTAGCCATATATTTTTAAACCAAACCTTGCAGAGAGCAAACCAATGGCCGGACAAAACTATCAGTGGCATATGGGGAAAACAACATTTTATTATGCATAATTCACATTTTTAAAACATTAAAGAGGAGTTAAACAGTTTTAATGTATGCCAGCTGTCAAGATTGCCGTTGTGCTTATTTCAACTTTAAAGCCCTCAAATGCCTACAATCCATATAGAGCAGGGGTGAGCTGTACTTTAACTACAAATCGCAAAATGTCTCTGCCTCTGGGAGTCATGTCTGTAACACTCAGTCTTGCAATGCCTCATGGGACTTGTAGTTCAACAGCAGCTGGAGGACTGGAGTTGCCCACCCCTGATATAGAGGCAAAGATGGTGCCTTTCTTGGCTGTAACTGATAGGATGATGTAGTTCTGCTTTAGGTAAAAAAAAAATAATATAATTTAACATACAGATTCAAGTCTCAGAGGCTAAAAAGTTGTAATTTGAACCCCTGAAATGGACATAGAATGTAACTGCAAAACTGACACACGGTGCTCTTCCAATAAGAATAACTTTTTTTCACATGCATCTGTACAAAGAGCAACCGCTAGCATGGTTTCTGCTCCCTCTTTGAGGGCTTGTTCACACCATAAACCGTGCATTCCAGAGCAGTCAGCTGCTGGAACGCCCTGTATCTCATTCTGGCCGGGTTCCTGCGTTCAAGGGCGGGAGGGGGCGTGACGGTGCATTGAAGTCAATAGCACCACAGCCACGCCCGCAGTGCGATCGCCCGCAATTGAACGCATAGCACATCCGTGCCTGGATTCCGATCCAGGAAAAATAGTGCCTGCAGCATTTTTCAGATCACACTGGACTGGAAATGCATTGTGGCATGCGTTCTTGTGCGGGTGATCACACTTTGGGTCGTGGTGGTGCCATTGACTTCAATGCAGTGCCATGCCCCCTCCCACCCCTGAACGCACGATGTCGGCCAGGATGAGATGCAGTGTGTTCCAGCAGCTGACTGCTCTGGAACAAGCTGTTTATCGTATGAACAAGCCCTGAAGGCAGTTGCTTTCCTCTGTAAAGAACAAGCACAGCAGTAGCATAATCAGGTCCGATCATATCAAGACGCACCCTTTCACAATATGTATAGCAGTTGCTAACATCTTCTGATTATGGTAGGTTTCCTGGCTACCAAAATGATTCTGTGGCCTTAATTGATATAGTACTATAAATCACTGCATTATTTGCGTGTGGTCAACATACTACTTGATGTTCCCCACGTAATTTCCAAAGTTTGGCTGAGGCATGTAAAATTAAAATATGAGAATACTCTGGTCCTGATGGTAAAAAAGTCTGTTGCAGATTTTTAAGATTAAACACTATCAGTGAGAAGTAATTATGGAGTGTTAAAAAGTAAAAAAACTAGATATATCTGAACCTGCTGGTTGACTTGCATCTTGTCATGGTCAGTATTTGGAAATGAAAAACATATTCAGAACTGTGGTCCTGTCTCCACATGGAGCTTTTGTTGCATCCATCATAAGGCCTCATTCACACACAACGCAAGCAAAATTTTATATTGCGTACATACGTGTATATGCGTGCACTATATGCAATCCCAGAATGCATCACTTGTAATGGAATTTTTAATGTGCTATACGCATATACGCGCATATAGACGCTTATATATGCGCGTAAATACGAAGAAATACGCTGCCCGGACGCATCTCTGTTCCATTCTGTTTTTGCGCATATATACGCTACTCAAATATACGGCTCTATACGTGTGTATGGAGCCATTTATTTGCATAGGCTGCATATGGTACAATACGCACGTATACGCGCGCATACGTGTGGCAGTGTGAATGAGGCCTAAATAGATGGAAACATACATTTGGAATCCAACAAGGGCTGTGTGTGCTGAGTGCTGCCCCCATTCCACTGTGTGCCATGTAGCCGGTAGCTGCGCTCTCTAACATGCACAATGTGCATTAAAGGGCAACTTCACTTTACCAATTAATTTGGGAAAATTGAATTAACCATTTAAATCTGGCCCCCTCTTTCCCCTGCTATACTTACCTTTTGGCAAACTGCCTTTCTCCTCCGCTAGTATGGGGGTACTATCTGTACCCCCATACTGCTGTCCAGCGCAGACTTGCGCTATGGATTTTGAATTTCGCTCGCAAATGGTGAGCACTTGTTGGTCAGCACGGTCACCTGACCGATGAGAAGCACTTCTTAGCACAGTTAAATCCGGTTTTAGTTAAAACTACTTTTTGTATCCCCAAAAGTAGATGGTCACGAGGGACAAGTAAATTGGGCCCCAGCTTCAGCCCTTGGACAAGTAGATTTAAAAAAAAAAAAATTACACACACACACACACACACACACACACACCTTTTTAAATGTAGAGAGTCTTCTGGTATACTCATGGTTTGTTCTTGTTTTGCAGTGTGCTGTACAAGTAAAGCTGGAACTGGGTCATCGAGCCCAGGTTAGGAAGAAACCAACACTTGAGGGTTTCACCCATGATTGGATGGTATTTGTCAGAGGACCAGAGCACAGTAACATTCAGCACTTTGTGGAGAAAGTTGTATTTCACTTGCATGAAAGCTTTCCAAAGCCTAAGCGAGGTAAGAACCGTTGGTGTTTAGCTTATTTTATCAAAATATTCGCTGTATAGTATCTAACCTTTCACTTTTTGGTGTAACTGGTGCTGGAAAATTTGGTTGCTGAAATAATGTTGTATGGTGTAATATTGGTTTTTGTTCATTTCTCTTATTAAATGAACTTTGGTGGCTCTCCTCAGTACTTGCCTATATTTTGAGACATTATGTGGGCATAAAATGGGCACTGAATTGCCTCCAGCATTGCTAGAGCACAAATACCATGGTGAACCCAGTTAAAATGGCTAGAATTCTTGCTAGTGTTGATTAAATATAGTAATAAGTTTATGGAAAAGATTCATGTTGATATGATTAAACAGGCCAAATATCAGGCCATCAAAAAACTATATGGCTGGATTTGGCCACCGTGCACACAATTGCAAATGCCACTTAGCATTTAGACGTGGCTACAGTGCTGGTCCATGTGGCCAGATATGTGCTTGTGTTCTCCTGCATTAAGGCTCGCTTCTTGCTTGGGTTTTATTGAGCTATTTGGTGAATACAGTAGCCGTTTGATATTTGTTCTGGTTGTGTTGTACTTTACAAATTCCATTCACCCTGTGATATATTGGAAAAACAAAAGTGTATTAGGAAAACCTCCTATAGACTTGTCATATAACTTCCTTAGGTGGAATTGTAGTATGAATTATAGTAAAGGTACCTGAACACTGGAAAATTGTGTCTGCTCACATTTGTTTTTTTTTAAACATTTGTAGACGTGTAAGATTGCCTTTTGGCTTGTCACAATAAATATTTTGCACACGTCTTGATACTCATTTTATTTACGTTTTCCTTCACTTTAATGGCTAATATTGAGTACATTTTATTTGCATCATAGGCCTAAATCTAGATTGGTATTTCCACAGTTGGAAGTATGTGCTTAAGGAGGTACACAGTAGCTGATGTATGGGATTGTTAGGGCTTGGCATCTAAAAAGGAGAAGGTTGAGCCTATGCGCAATATTTCTGGACTACAGTTGATATACTCGTGCTATTCAATTGTCTAATGGTTTTTACAAGAGTAAACATATTTTTTATTATTTACTTGAAGGCCATCATACTCTTAAGGTAGCGTGGTGATTTAAGCATTGGGCGAGAAGTGTATGCTACTATATTCTCTGGTGGCCAACTTGGAGAAAAGCTTTTTGATTGGTTAATGGATTTCTTGAAGCATATGTGTACAAGGCAGGCAATGTGCCCCAAACAGCCTGAGGACACCACATCTTCAGATTCCCAAAGACTGCTGTAAATGGAAGTCACCATTACTAGTGGAACCTTGTGGTATACGGATGACTATGAAGCTTAATAAAAAAAAATAATAATAATAAACTTGTCACAAAAACCTTAAATTTGAAATTCATTGATTTTAAACAGTACTTGCAGAAATGGATGACATTATATGCAAATGTCTATTTTTTGTCAAGGCCATGGTTGGCACCCATACCTATCATGTTATAGTGAGGCTTGATAGGTAGAAAAGGGTAGGACCAAGTTACCTTTTACAGAAACTGTTGAGTTTTGATATACCTTCAGCTATTTATAAATTTGCTGATCAGCTTAATGCTTTCCAAAAAGGTTGTTTTGGTACATTATTTATTTAAATGTATTTATTTTATTTATTATAAATATGCTCAGTTTGATTTGCCTAGTTTTGTAGCCTTGGTTCTCAGTTGGCTGGCTTGGATGGTGCATATATTTTGGTTGTTTCATTTTTATACACTCTGCATTGCCCCCCCCCCCAAAAAGTCACCACCTGGAATTAATTTTTTTATGGTCTGGGGTTGTTTCAATTGGTCAGGTGCAGGTTCAGCAATGTTATGTCCCCAAAACATGAGGTCAGCTGTCTACCTGAATATACTGAATGACCAGGTTTTTCCATCAATTGATTTTTTTCTTCCCTGATGGCACATTGGGCCTATTCCAAGATGGCAATGCCAGGATTCATCCGGCTCAAATGGTGAAAGAGTGGTTCAGGGAGCATGAGACATAATTGTACACATGGATTGGCCACCACAGAGTCCAGCCCTTAACCCCACTGAGAATCTTTTTGATGTGCTGGAGAAGACTTTATGCAGTGATCCTAATCTCTCATTATCACTACAAGATCTTGGGGAAAAATGAATGCAACTATAGATGGAAATAAATGTTGTGACATTGCATAAGCTTATCGAAACTATGCCACGGCGAATGCATGCCGTAATCCAAGCTAAAGGTGGTCCAACAAAATATTGTGTGTGACTTTTTTTGGTCAGGCATTGTATTGTGCAAGATGTCCCAAGCCTGTCTCAAAGCAACTCTCTCTCTTTTACTGTGTGTGTTTGAATGATGATACTGTTAGGCCACTCACTGTCCAGCTGCTTTTGCAAAGGGAGCCTAATGAAGACATTTGAAGCTCACATATGGAATGTTTAAGCAGTAAAATGTTTATTTTCAAGAGTTTGGGAGGAAAGACCTCCTGTCTTGATTAAATGTATACATTGTGTATTTAAGTCTTTGATTTGAGTCTCTGTATAAATAGATTTCACGAAGCCCCCATTTGTGGGAAGTACATTAGTCTCTCAATGGTTTGTATATGTGTCTGTTGCTCCCTTCTAACCTTTTGGCTAGTGACTGATGCAGTTGATTCCTGTGATTTATAAGTGTATATGCACATTTTATCTTTGGCTCTAAAGTTAATCTGCAGCAAGAGCTGAGACCCAGAAACAAAGCAGAAATCAATTTTACTTCTAAATATTGTAGAGTTATCGAGATTGAAAATTTGGTGTTTGATATTATTATTTGTTTTTATTTTGTTATTTTATTTTTTTTAGCTGCATTTAGAAAAAATAGTCAGGTGCGTCCCAGGAATTAATTTTAACTTTTAAGCGCATGTAAAGGCAAGCTGTATTTTGCTGAAATCTCACTGACTGTTTCAATGGACAAAGGACAGATGCATCTAAACGCGAGCCATTTTAAGCATCTAGAAGCATAAAAAAAGCATCTAGCCTGACAGATTTTGCAGACAGATCTCTACATAAAAACCAATGTGGCTGTGAATGAAGCCTTAGACTAAGAGTCAGTGAATAACTATCAAATATTGCCGAATTGATGAGCATATAACTCGTGTTAAAAGTAATAACATTTTTTTCTAAATCAAAAGCTATTAGGTCATTTTACAAATTCTAGAAACTAACAAATCCTAATGGATAGATGTTACAATGTGTAACTAACGATTTGCCTCAGATCCTAAGGTCTCGTTCACACCTAGGCGTATTGCATATGCGCGACCGTCGCGCGTTTTTACTACGATTTGCGGTAAAAAAAGTCGCGCGTTTCCGGAGGCTACTTGGCTCTATCCCAATGGAAACGCGCAACAAAACGGCCCAAAGTAGTACATGTACCTTTTCAGGCGTGGGCCGTTTTGTAGCACGTTAGGGACGGGCGGAAATACGCCAAGGTGGGAACGAGACCATTGAATACAATGGGATTTACATTTTTGAGCGTTTTGTAGAGCGTTTGTCGAGCGTAGAACGCACTAAAAAACATTCAGGTGTGAACGAGGGCTAACTCTGTTTTTACACAATCTTTTCCCCCTGAATGGATGTTTATGATAGTCACATATCTGGTAGGTTACTACATTTTTTTGCCTCCGCAGCGAATGATAGGACAGTGATTAAGCAGCATCACACTAATGAGGTCATCCGCTGCTCCCTCATTAAGGCCCCATTCACACTGAGCGATTTATCGAGCGATTTTTGCAGCGATATCGCTCATATTTCCACACGATATCGCTCTATGTAGCTTCTCCAATCCATTTCAATGGTGCTGTTCACATCTCTCCGCTCAATATCGCTTGTAGCTCGTCGCTCCTACATGACCCTTTTTTCTGCAGATTTCGAGCGATTTTGCTCCTGATTGCATACAGCCCAATAGGAAAAAGTCGCGCAATATCGCACATATAAAATTGCGCGGAAAATCGCACGATTTTCATGTCGCTCGACGCTCAGTGTGAATGGGGCCGTAAGCATGTCCACTGAAAACACTGTGTGGAGTGATGGAGTATGATTGGCTCTCCCCTAAATTTATTCTGTGCAGGTATTATAGGAGGCTTATGGCAAAACAGATTCAATTTTTGGCTAGGAAACAGCTCCAACCCCCCAACAATGATATATTTTGTGAAAGCAGAGGCCCTGTAGAATAAGAAAGTGCTAGCTGCAATTTATTATGCAACATGATATTTGCGCAAATGTTTATCAAACCAGTATTTTTAGGATAAAATACACTAAAATAAAATTTAGTGCACAGAAACAGAACACAATACCCAGTTTTTTGGTAAAAAAAAAAAAAAAGATGGGGTCACATCAGGTAAATTTTAGATACCAAACTTGATCTCCATACCCAAAATTTCCCATAGGGGACACTTGAAAAGCTTTTACCGCTTAGAATTATTGCTCTCACTCTCAGAGCAATTTTCGTTTTTGCACGTAGGCGTTTGCGTATGTGCATCCACTTGGGGGTGGGAGACATTAAAACATTTATTTGCATTTTTTTTGTTACTTTTTTTTACACTAATCATATTGCTATCACATGTAATGGCAAATAGGATGTGACAGGTTCTCTTTATGGAAACATCCGAGGTCTTTCAGACCCCTAATGTCACCTAGAGACCCCAAAGAAGCTGAGGAAGCAGAGATCTGCTTCCCCTGCTTCTTCTCCTGGCTCTAAGAGCCGGTGAGTGTAAACCAATGACACCGGAAGTTATATAATACACATCACTTCCGGGTCCAGTGATCGGAAAAGAGATCAGCGGCTAGAAACCTGCTGATCTCTCCGATCGTTGCGGGGAGACCCGCCGTGCTGGTCCTGAGCCCCGCACGGGGGACAGTGGAGCCTGGGGAAGCTGGCGGAGGAGGAGGTGGGTGCAGCACGATCCGCCGATCGGTACAAATGATCCGGCGGCTGTATAGACGCTGATCGGTTGTACCTGAA